AAAATGAATGCAAAAAATGGAAACGGTGAAACCCGAGAAGGAAAGAAAGAAAAGAAAGAAACCTAGGAAAGAAACAAAGAAAAGCAAAAAAAATAATGAAAACCGAGAAAAACAAAGAAAACACATGAACAAGAAAACCTAGTAAAAATTGTGATGAAACGAAGAAATCCTGTGAAAAAAACATAGAGAAACAAAAAAACTGAGAAAAGCATGAAGAAACAAGGAAAAATTAAAAGAGAAAACAAAAGAAAAAGAAGAAACCGAAAAAACTCAAACCAAACGAACGAATAGTAGCGATCAATGGAGAAAGCCGGTGAACTTAGAAAAAGAACACCGAATCGGGCCATTCGAGTAAACGATTAGAGAGTAAAATAGTCGACGCGAGATGTTCTTCCATCTTGCTATAAGCGAGACATAGTTCTCGCGCCTCATACCAATTGCATTTGTATCTGGATTTGATGATTTAAGTGCCAAGTATCATATTTCTCCATATGGATATATTAGTAGCAAATAGGTAGGAGAGCCCCCATTTGACACCTTGTGCATCAAAATGCTAGGCAAAACACATAGAGCTTCCATGAATAGGCCGCCTACATTAGCGGTATGTACTATAGATTATGTTACCAAGTGGGCAAAAGTAATTCCGACGTATGCTAACGCCGCTACTTCCATAAATATGATTAAAATATCATCTTCCTCAGGTTTGGAGTGCCTAAAGTTCTTATTATTGATGGCAGATCTCATTTTATACAAGGGATACGTAGGAGTATCCTACGTAAGTATGGAGTTACACCTCGCGTAGCATCTCCCTACCATCCACAAATGAGTGGGTGGGTGGAGTTGTCAACCCGAGAGCTAGTTAAAACAATGCTTTAGAAGACAGTGCAAAAAGTCAAGGACGAATTGGGCATGAAAGCTCAACGACGCGCTTTGAGCATATCGCACTGCCTACAAAAATTCCATGGGTATAATGCCATATAAAATGGTGTATGGTAAGGGGCATGTCAATTTGCCTTTAGAATTACAGCATAATTTTGTTGGGCTATTTTGAATTTAAACATCGATCTTAAAGAGGTCGGAGAAAAGTGATGTTAGATGTACATGCTCCAGATGAATTTAGAAATGACGGTTATGAAATTGCTCGTCTGTTTAAAGAAAAGGTTAAGATGTGGCATGATAGAAAGATCTTGAAACAGAAGTTTCACGCCGGAGAAATTTTTTTCCTATTTAACTCCCATTTTAAGTTGTTTCCAGGAAAGCTTAGGTCCAGGTGGGAAGAACCCTATAAGATCGAAGAAGTTCATAATTTAGGAGCTGTATGGTTGAAGGGGGTAGGGATACTCTGCAGATCGTAAATGGACAACGCC